GTCAATGTCAAGGTCAATGTCAAGGTCAATGTCACTTGCAGGGTTTGAATAAATTATTTTTGCACGTGATGCGCGCGCTTTTCTTCTGCGTAGTTATGAGAAGCTACCTCGTATTTTTTCATGTATATTATTAATAGATAATCACATGATTTTCTCGTGCAATTTGGAATAAATAAGCACTTGTAAATTTTTTCAAAGACCACAAATTGCACTCGCCCTACGGGCTCATGCAATTTTGTTAGTCTTTGAAAAAATTTACTCGTGCTTATTTAATTCAAAATGCACTCGAAATCATGTGATTACCTAGACTAATAACGCTTTAATTCGCGAATCCTATCGCCCATTTCATTTTATTTATTGTGAACAGATAATTGTTTTGTGGTGATGTATCGTAGGAAGACTGAGTATGACACAGTTTCAGCCTCGTCTCCAGAGGACTGAAAAGCCTGGGAACAATAAAGTCAATAAATATATATATCAATGAAGCGCCCTAAATTTCAACCGCCCGCAAAATGGTTTCTCTTTCACTTTGGTAACTCTTTCAGTTTGGTTCTTGGTAAGTGTCGCAAGCGAATCTTTAATGTTTTTGAAAATTGAAGGTACTTTAATTGTCTTCCTCGGTAGGTGGACCTATTGAAGCAGTGAGTAATACCTAACTTATCTTCACTCTGCGAAAGATCGGTTAGTTAGGAATCATATCAACAGATGAACAGATGCGAACAGGGAATGAAATCAAAAGTGCAATTCTAATTAGTTAATTGATCTGATCGCGCGAGGCTCTGTTTTCGTAGCCATTGTACAGTCAGATTTCCGATCCCCTCGAAAATTCCGACGGAATTTTCGAGGGCGTCGGAATTCTGGCTGTACACAGGCTAAGTTTTCGCCGTTTTCTCGAGTCCGGTTTCATTTTCCACGCGGTGACTCTTTATGGAGTTCAAAAGGAAGTAAACAGTATTAAGTAGAAGGCTAAATAACGTCAAATCGTACAAAACTCCTCGGAGTTTGTTGAATTTTGGTGAATACGCGGGAAATGTATGCTTGAAAATTCAAGAAGGCACTCCAACAGATTTTCTGTCAAACTAAACCATGAATAGCCCTTTGTACAGTTCTCGGTGCCATATTGAATGTGTAACCACGCAAACATGATAGCGAGGCTTGTGTTGAGTCGCGTTGCGAGTTCAAGTGAGAGTCTAGTGAAATGTGGTGGAATGTGGTGGTGCTCTGTCCTTTTCATCGAGATATTTCGACAATGAACGATACTTTCCCTACGCAGGATATTCCTCCTTCTTCTTCGAAAAGAAGAGGAAGACACTGTGCCACTTTTTGGTTGTGCTAATAGCTATTATGACACAATAGGCAATCCAACACTTCTGCATTTCTTCTCGTTTCCGAACTACGTCCAGCAGCGAATCAGATGGTGCAATCTCCTGAAGCGCCAGCATGGAAAGGACGGATTCTTCATCACAAAATCAACTTTTTTGTGCTCAGCCTCCTATAGATCATAAGTAGAGACTAATCTAAATACGT